AGAGTCGTTATCACACAGTTCTGCTTTCGATTCAATATGATTAGCCTTTAATTCGGGAAAGCAACGAAACGAAGTCTGTCAGGAGTGCCTTATTTTAAAGGCAGAGTCTACATCTACGGACTAGCATAGCATGTAGTCGCTCATTTCCTTCTCACTTAAAGGTACTTTTTATCAACCTCAGAAGGAAGAATGTCGAATGGTCCCAGCCGTGGCTCGAACTCGGGATCTCTCGGTTTTGAGTCCGCCGCTCTACCGACTGAGAAACTCGGGTCTGAAGCAGCGTACGGTAAATTCTGTAAGCATGTAAATTTGTGGATAAAACAAACATAGCCTCTTCCGGAATCGCATCCGGTACTTCCGATTTCAGAAGCGATTTCTTTTCCACACTGTGCCATGACGCTACGAGTTAAAATAATTAGTGCTTTCCAACTTGTAGCCAAAACACAGATTATCAATAGTACTGATCTGATAAGTGCTCTGTTAGTTGTACATCACTTGAAGCTACACAGCTACTTTTGATATAATAGCAGTTAAAAGTGGTTCATTGGCATCTAGAAACGACTGTTACAGTTTGGCTGATGATCTCGTGTACTGATCACCGATGCTGCTACTATTCGTTGACATATTTGCAGTCATTCATGTGATGATCCTTGATTGATGCAGGCTGCCTCTTGTCATGCTTCTCATCGTAAGCTATGCAACGGATGAAATTGTTTTTACAGACGGTCATGAATCAGCTCACATAGGTCCCCTGCTGTTTTCTCTAATCCAACTCCGTGTGTTCACTTACATCAATAAAAAGCTCACGGTTTAGCAGATCCTGCAGCTTACTGTCACAGCAAGTAGTAGGTACCTGCTCTTCAGCAGTTTGAGGCACTGAGATGATGATAAAGCGTACAGGAGAACCACACAGCATCATATCACTGTATTGATTAACGTGTCACTGTACAAGAGGAAGAACTAATCAATACGACTTGGTATCCAATTCGTTGCTCAATATATCTGGAAGTTCTGCAGAATCAGAATTTAGTGAAATACAACTGAACGCTTGATTGGTTCTGTCCGGGCGTGAGATATATAGCGCGTTTTTGTACAGTCGTTTTCTGTTCAACTCAGTGGTGATGTGTGTTTCTTCTCTACTCCTTGCTGTTGTCTCTATGCTCTAAATGCTGCGTGTAAGAACCTACTACTTTCATGGCAATAAACTTGTCTTGACGTAGTAAGCATCTCAGACCACGAAAATGCAAATTGACTATTTATATGATTAAATCATGTACCACACGTGGGACTGTAGGTGCTCATATGTCAAAGATCTCTTGCCCTTTGGAAGCTAGGATCAAGGGACGGTGCAATGCGCTGTGAAATCTAGTCATGGAGGAGTTGTCCACTATTTAACGTGCTGCGACGTATGAAAGTACTTTGATATGCGGTAGCATATAAGGAGCCAGCATTTGAAGCATCGCTCATAATGAACGTGAGGTTGCTGTGGCGGACAAAGTGATGCGAGATGCATCTGTTGCTTCAGGTGCTCAAATTCAATGATGCTGTGGGTTATTTAAATACCCCTAGTCAACTGAGAGCAAAGGAGTGGTTCAATACGCCGTGAAATTACGTCCTTGAGGAGTCATTCTCTACCATGCAATTTCTGATGACCGATTTTCTGTTGCTTTTGAAAACCTTTGTGTTTCTATGTTTTTCTGTGTTCGCGTCAGGCATGACTCTAAGAGAATAAGTTGGTCTAACTGTCGGATCAGAAATATCAGCGATTTGCCTAACGGAGGTAATCGCTTTCCGAGGGTTTCAAAAATAGGCCTGAAAGCTCTCAGATGAAAGGCACGAGTTTTCGACATTTTGGACCAGATGCGAATCTCTTTTCAACCTTTGTTTAAATGATGCTCGATCTGAATCTAGAACGAAAAGACGGCGATTCGAAAACTACCGAAGCAATTAAACGGCATGACTGATTGCCACTCGCGAAGTACTCCTCATTTCATTAGTGATGCTCCAACGTTCCGTTGCGGAAGTAATTCATGAACCGGCTATGAGGAAGTGTCCCTCCATCAAACATCAAACATAGTTTCAAAGCTTGGTTTAAAGAACAGTTATTCGTTCATAACCATTTCTCACGAAGTTTTCATTTTTTTTACCTTGGTCTATTCCTTGAACCTGAAAGTTGTAAATTCCAACCTTTCCCTTCGAGTTGCAAAATTTATCAGTATAAGCATCGAAGAAAGTTCCATGACGAGAACCATTTGCGACGCTCCTTCTTTCATAGAGCTTACGCTGCTGCGCTCGATTCTATTTCATCTGTAAAATGCGCTGTATTTTAACATCTACAACTATTTTACAAGTACGACATGCATCTTCCCGGTTCTTTTCGAACAAAGTGGAACTCGTTTACCTACCTTCGAAGGGCTAATAGCTAGTGACCTGCTCGAGGGAGATACCTACCTACCTACCTACCAACCTACATACATACACGCATACATCCATCCATCCATCCATCCATCCATACATACATACATACATACATACATACATACATACATACA